AAACATGTCACTTGCTAGTTGATTTGGAAAATAATACTTATTGGGCAATTAAAGAGTTTAATTATAATTTGAAAGATGCTGCAGAAAAGCGATTACTTCAATTAAGTGAGCTTGATGAATTGAAAAGTGAAGCTTATGAGAATGTCAAAATTTATAAGGAGAAAATAAAATTTAGGCATGATCAAAAAAATTCTGAAACAACATTCTAAGCCTGGGCAAGAAGTATTGCTTTCAAATTTGAGATTAAAATTATTTATAGGAAAACATAAATCCAGGTGATCAGGACCATTTATTGTGGAAAAGTATATCCTTATGGAGCCGTTGATATTGAAGATTCAAAAACTGGGAGAGTGATTATGGTAAATGGACACAGATTAAAGCTTACATGAGTGGAGAGGGTCTTGCATTTGAAGAAATCCTAATGTTGGGTCAGACCTAAGTAAAACAATGATTATGTCGGGCTGACGACTTTAAACCAAATGCTTTGTAGGAAGAAACCCATAGTTATCAGTGTGATTTGGATTTGAATTATTTTTGTGATGAGTTCTATATAGTGATTGTGAGTCTTATATGATTTTTTTTGGGTCAAAACATTATTATATTAAAGAACATGAAGAGTGGAAGAAAGAAATTTGAAAATTGAGAATGTTGGTTTGGCGCTATAGCACAATAGCTCAAATAACTCCTCAAAACCACCAAAATTTCGGTTTCTCTTCTTCCTCCTCTATATAAAACCACCTAGTACGAGATTTGAAGTATCCCTACAACATTCCTAAGTATTCTAAAGAGATTTGAGACTAGAAATTTCATTTGTGAGATTTGGAGAGCAATGACAATGGGAGATTTGAAGAGAAGAAGTTGTTGCATAAGGATGCTCAAGCATATTTCAATGAATATCTCACAGTAAGTTTGAAGCACCTCATGGAAAAACTTGAGAAGATTGAAGGTGAGATTTCTCTTTTGCATTCAAAGGTTGAAAATTTGTCCTACCATTACGAGCTTACGGACTAGCAGTTGAATCTGTAATTCAATAGTTTGGCGTGCTTCCAAGATAGTCAAGTGACTATGTATAGCACCAAAAAGTGGATCGAAAAGTGGATCGATGATAAGTTTGCGATGATAAGTTTGCTAAGGAATTTCCTCATGCTCCTTTCTACCATTGCTACGATAGAAGCTGTTTAGTATGTGGAATGGAGGACATTACCACTGATCAGGAGTGGTTCTAAAGGTTGTTTTTAATATTGTGTAATTCCGTGTGATGTGCCTGTCGTATTCGTTTTAAGACTTAGCGTGGTTTGTATTTTATGTGCTGTATGAACATCTGAGTGATTTCTTTATGTTTGTGATGTTTTATTGAACTTATTATTAATATAAGAAAATTTTTTGTTGTGCTGTGAAAAAGTGGTCTTATGTATTCAAATTAGAATTTACGAATTTGAAATTTTAGATTAGTAATGAACTCAATAAGTAAAAAATTGGAAATTAAAATTTGAAAAATAGTCTTTCTGCATCCAAGATTTTCTATTTTCTTTTCAAATATAATTTTTTTTAAAAAAATCTGAATGGGTATGAATGGCGCTATAGCACCACATTTGGGTACTATAGTGTCGTTCATCAAGATAAGCATGGCACTATAGCACCACTGCCCGACACTATAGTGTCAAACTTACCCATGAGTCATTTTAAGTGCTTGGACCCATGGATTTTGCCATTTTTACCCTTGGTTTGTCTCCTTCCTCTATTTTTTGCATTTCTCTTCCCTAGGGCTTCAATTTGTGCTTAATTAGCTTGGAGATAGGCTTCCAAACTTTGGATTTCTTCATCTCTAGATAAGTTTTTCACCCTAGCTTTGAAATATTTTGATTTGATAATGGATTTCACCCACATTGTGGGTTAGGCCGAAAATTAGAAGATTTGATGAAAATAGTGTGAAATCCATGGTTAAATGATTATTTATGTTCGGATTGAGTTCTTAGGAGCCTCTTTGAAGTTGAGTTAGTGGTTCTTGGAATTTATTTTAAAAATTTTTAGATTACACATGGCTAATAAAATGAAGAGAGGCATGGAAAATATAACTTTCGATTCTAATAGGTTTGCCAGGTGCACGAGACAAATATGCTAATCTGCAATCAAAGAAGTTGATTACACAATGCAGTTTTCTACGTTCTAGTGGTACTATTGAGTACTTGATTGCAGAGCGACAGAGGGAAAATTTTTTTTATTTCACTACTGTTTCTGTGATGTCTGTTGTTCATGAATTTTATGCCAACTTGCCCAATGAATCAGATGATTTGGTTTTTGTGCGTGGGCAATATGTGGATATTAGTTTTCTTTGAATTAACCACATATACCAACTACAAAGTGTTCCTGCCTGCTTCTTTTCTGAGTTCCATCCTACTGACGCTGAATTGGATGATATTATGAGATTTTTGACTGATGGAAATGGAGTCTGGAAGATTAAAAATTGGTGATAGGTGAACTTTTCTTTCTCAAAACTTAATGTTCATTCTCGAGCATGTCACTATTTCATATCCAGTAGATTGTTGCCTACCAACCATTTCAGTGAGGTAACCCGTGAGAGGGCCACTTTAAACTACTATATTCAAATCTAGTGACATTGGCTCCCTCATTTATACCAATATGCTTGTTTCTTTGAGAGGAGGAACTACAGGAGGTTTGGGATACTCTTCTCTTATTACTACTTTGTGTGCTGGTGTGACATTATTTTGGTTGTGGAGTTGCTTGTTAGAAGCTGGTCGGCCTCCGGAATAGGAATCCCGTCGCCCGCTTCAGAAAGGCATTATATATATATATATATATATATATCTATATCTATATATAAGATAGAGTTGGCGGCTGAAGAAGGAGCTCTGCTAGGGTTTTTGGGGAGATGAAGTTTTGCAGCAGCTGGTGGAGGTTGGTGGGTGCTGTCAAGGTGGTAAGTAGTGCCCTTTAGACTACACTTTGGTGGTTTTTCTTTTTGGCCATTCCCGGGCTAGGAATTTCTAGCCTGGTTACTGTTCCATTGAACTGGGGCTTCTCCCCTTCATTTCTCTCTCTACAATCCCTGTTTCTATTTGAAGATCAGAGGTTTGAATTTTCTCCCTCTTCTTCAACTGGGGGACTCTGGTTTTCTATTTGTGGCTGCTTTAATGGTTCACACCTCAATGACTACTCCTATTGATGTACACACTGATTCTCAGTGGATAAAAAGCTACCTATGCTGGTGTTGTTGGAAAAGCCAATGACACCCTTCAAGATCCTTAAAAGCTAATCTTCCCCCAAAAATTTCATGATGTAGCTGCTGGTAAAGGGTTGTGCCCTTGCATTTACCCCCTTGGCTCTAAAGAAAGAGAAACTGCTGTGTATTTTTCTGATATTGATATTGCCTCACTAAATTAGGAAGTTAGATTCACTTTAGTGGGAAAATTTCAATTGGGTCACCCCAAAATGGATCTTGTTAGAAACCTTTTTGATTCACTTAATTTTATTAGGCAATGGAAGCTTGGCTTGTTAGATGGCAGGCACCTACTTATCCAACTATCATTAGAGGAAGACTATGCTAGGTTATTTGCTAAACAAGCAGTTGTGATTGCTGAGACTACTATAAAAATCCAAAAATGGACCAAAGATTTTGACCCAATCAAAGATCCTCCTGTGGTACCAGTTTGGTTCAAGTTTTGGGGACTTCCACTACCTTTCTTCAAGCTCAATGTTCTTTTTAATAATGGAACGGCATTGGGCACACCTCTGAAGGTAGATGCTCCAAGTTTTAACAAGGCAAGGCCTGCACTTGCAAGAATTCAAGTAGAGAGAGACATAACACTCCTAGAGATAAAGAGGATTTGGATTGGCTCAGAGGCTGAAGGATTTTGGCAAGATATAGTTGCTAAATAAAAACCATTTTACTGCCAACATTATAAAATGTTTGGTGATACCATTGAGAGATGCTATAGGCTTCACCCCCCTTCAAGAAAGACATCTGTCAAGAATTTAAGGGAGGCTGGACAGGTTGCTGAACAAATCCAAAGCATTAATGATAATGAACTCAGTCAATTGAATGACATTAGAGCTGTGAAACAACTTAGAGTTAATTCCACTGCTAAAAATAAATCCCCACAGAAATTTGATGATGCCCCCTCTGGGGATCCTTTGGGGGAACTATCTGGCTCACAATGCAACACTGATACATCTCCAGGGAGAGCTGTGAGAACATAAGTTAATGAAGTTATTTATATTACTCCCCTTCTCCTTCAATTGGAGGTAAGGGAGGAAATTTTCAGAATTGTCTTCCCAACATAGAGATTAGGAAAACAATTTTGAACAGTACTGTTGCTAAGTTACAACAGACACTTGAAGAAGATTGGCAAGTCTAGACAGCTAGAACGAAGAAGAAAAAGACAACTGAGGTGCAACAACTTCAACAAGGAACAAGCTCTATGAAGACTGAAGGGAAGGCCAAGACTAAGAATGGTTCCCCCTCTACATACAATAGAGGCAGAACTAGATCAAGGTCTCAACCATCTATTCAACTCTCATCTATCAATGATTAATATTCTATGCTGGAACATTAGGGGTATGGCTCACCCCCTTTCTCTTAAAAGAGTTTTGCATCTTAACCATAAGCATCAACTTTGGTGCATTGTCATTCTTGAACCCATGGTGCATAAACACCCACATAAAATCATTAAGAAATTTAATGGTTTTACACATTTTGCTAATATCAATAATAAAATATGGGTCTTCTGCAGAAAGGAAATAAGATGGAACATTTTGGTTAATCACCAACAATTTGTTCACTTATCCTTTTTTATTAATGACCATAGAGGTTTTGCACCCTTAGTATATGCAAGTTGTATTAAGGCAGACAGAATGGAGCTGTGGCATTGTCTCCATAAGATCAGTCAGCAGATGAATTCTCCCTGGTTGGTGGGGGGGAGTTTAACTGTATTGCCTCTTTTGCAGAAAAATCTGGTGGCAGACCCCTCAATAAAGCTAAAATGTCCACCTTCTGTGATAGCATCAGCAGTGCTGGGCTTTTTGAATTGGGCTTTAAGGGCCCTGAGTTTACCTGGAAAAGGGGTCATTTGTGGGGAAAACTGGACAGATTTCTTGTGAATGACTACTGGCAATCTCAATTTATGCTCACTTTTGTCACTCACCTTAGCCTTGCAGGCTCTGACCATAGGCCTCTCCTTATAAGCATCACATCTTTTCAATTACCTCCCACACCTTCTCCTTTTAGATATCTTAACATGTGGTCCTCCCATCCTCTTTTCCCAAAAATTATTTTTGAACATTGGTTTGACATCTCACACCCTGACCCTTTGGTGAAGCTTAGCTTACTTCAAATCAAAACTGGAAAGGCCTTACAGAAATGGAATTGGGAAGCTTTTGGAAATGTTTTCACTAAGGTGACTGGTGCTGAAATAAATGTCACAAAAGTTGAACAGGAGGCACAACAAGGCTTTGTGGGGGAGGAGGAACTACTCAGTGCACACAACATCTTGCTCAATGCCATTGAGTATCAGGACCAATTTCTGAAACAGAAGCCAGCTATGAACATCTTCACTGATGGGGAAAGAAATACCAAGTTTTACCATGCTTATATCAAATACAAAAGGAAATGTAACACTATTCATACCATACAGAATTAAGATGGAGTTTGGCTCCATGATAATATTTCCATTACTGATGATGCTAATAATTATTTTAAAAAATTGTTCAATAAAGTGCAGAATACCAGGCTTCCCATTGAGACTCATTACTTCTCTGATGAGCTGAGTTGTACAAATAACCTCAATCTCATTGATCCCCATACAACAAAGGAAATTTGGGAGGCCAGTAGCTCTATTGACAGCTCTAAGGTAGCTGCCCCTGATGGTTACGTTGCAGATTTTTATAAAAAATCTTGGGATACTATTAAAGCTGATGTTATTGCTGCAGTGGTTAGCTTCTTTCAAGGTAACAACCTTCCTTGCTACTTCAAGGATTCCACTTATGTTCTTATTCCTAAAACAAAAATGCAAAACACTTGGGATCACTTCAGACCTATTTGCCTTACTACTATCCTCAGCAAAAAAAATAGTAAAATCATTATGCGTAGATTGAAACCCCGCCATGTTGTTCAATTAAACCCAATCAGACTGCCTTTGTGAAGGGCAGGTCTATCATTGATAATGCTCTACTGACACATGAACTTCTGCATGATCTGAATAAACCTTGTAGAGGGGGCAATCTGATCTATAAACTGGACATGAAGAAGGCTTATGACACAATTAGCTGGGATTTTATATTGGAGATACTCACTGCTAGGGGATTTCATACTTCCTTTTGCCAACTTATTCACATACAGTTAAACAACAATGCCCACTCAATCCTCCTCAATGGGAGAACCTGGGGATCTTTTACTGCCACCAGAGGTTTGAAGCAAGGAGACCCTTTATTCCCCACCATCTTCATCTTAGCCATATACTACTTATCTAGAATGATTGATGCTGCTCTCCTACCTCAAAACTATTCCAGATACCATCATAGCTCTAATATTCCAATTTCCCACCTTTTCTATGCTGATGGTATTATGGTTTTTTCAAGTGCTCATAAGAATGCAGTGAAGAAAGTTTTCCAAAGTCTAAAAAAGTTCCAACTGCACTCAGGGATGCAATTTAATGTTGATAAATGCCAACTGATCTTTAATAAGAAAGCCTCCTCCAATTGTAAGCAATGGGCCACTGCTTACACAGGGTTTTCTTATACTCAGCTTCCCATCAAGTATCTTGGAGTTACATTGCTAACTGGAAGAACCAAACATATTCAATTTGAAGAAGTCCTCAATAAGATCTCCTCCTTCCTCTCTGGCTGGACCCAATCTTTCCTCTATAATGGTGGGAGAATTACTTAGCTGAAGAGCATTTTAACAACTTTCCCTTCCTACATCCTACATATGTCTGCTATGAAGAAAAACACTCAAATTTAGATGGAGAGAGCCTTTAACAAATTCCTTTGGGCTGGTCAAAGACAACAAATGGATTGGGCTTCTTAGCTAAAGGTGGATACTCCTCAATTGGCTGGGGGCGATGGTCTTAAGGGTCTAAACCAACTGTTACAAATCAACCTGTGTAAGATGTGGATTAAATTTAGATCTCAGTCCTCTCTCTGGGCAAAATTTATGTGGGGTAAATACTATAAAGACCAGCATCCTACACTGGTGGGCAGAAAGACTGGTGATTCTAAAGTATGGGTGAAGATGCTCAAGATCAGACATATTGCTGAAGATCTTTTCTTTTGGACTTGGGTAAGGGCAATATCAGCTTTTGGTTAGATCATTGGTGCCTTAAAGATTGGTTGATTCCTCTCACCTCCCCTAATCTTAATCTCAAAGTTGCTGACTACTGGGAAGGCAACAGTTGGTCCATCCCAAAACTTTTTACTATTTTGCAGGAACATTCAGTCAAAAGAATTGCCACCATACATTTTGACAGAAATAAGATAGACAAACCTATTTGGCAGATCTACTCTACTCAAAGCCTCATTAAAGCTATAAACTCCAAAATTTATAAATGGGAGCAGATTTCTTGGGGGGACATTGTCTGGAATAAATCTCTATCTCCTTCTATAGACTTTTTTAGCTGGAGGATTCTTAAACAGTTTCTCCCTACTGATGACATACTCAAGTTGAAAGGTTTGAGAGGGCCTTTTAGATGTGGGCTGTGTCTTCAAGAGGAAGAATCTATCACTCACCTGTTCTTTGAATGTAACTTTGCCCATAAAGTTTGGAACCTACTGATGCATTACGTGGATATTGAAACCTTTCATCTCACTTGAGATAAAATCATTAATTGTTTGCAGAGCTGGCATCAAATTAATTGTGGCACTATACCTTTCATTGTAGCATGGTTTGTTTGGTTGAATAGAAATGGTGCCAAATTTGAAGGGAAGGTTTACAATGCTGAAAAAGTGGTTAGGAATATTATATATTACATTCACAAGCCGATCAAATATAAAAGATTCCCAAATATCTCCAAATTCTATTTGGATAGCAAGGAAACTTCTAACCAAATCAATAAAGTCTTCTGGACCCCTCCTAAGGAAAACACTATCAAGATCAACTCTGATGAAAGCTTCTCTGAGCTGGGGGCTGGTGTAGGTGGTATTTTCAGAAATCACCTTGGACACTGCCTCCTATATTTTCATACTCCGGTCTTGGCTGCTGATGCAATTGAAAATGAAATTATTGCTGTCTACTGGGCAATTATTATTGCAACTAAGGTTGGTTGGAATAACCTCTGGATTGAGGTGGACTCAACTGTGGCCATCAAACTATTAAGAAATGAGGATATCCACCCCTAGAATCACTCTTACTGGATGCACATTATCAAAAGGCTTTCTTCACACCTCCAAGTGAATTTCACTTTTATTGTTGGGGAGGGCAACCAACCTGCCAATTGGCTTGCAAGATATGGTCTCAGCTACAACAACACAATTGTGGCTACTATCCATCCTTCCCAACTTCTCTTATTACTTCATGGGGATAGAATTAACCTTCCCCACCTAAGAATTGCTAGTCAGAACAACATTTAGATTGTTAATACTGATTTGTGGTTTGACATGAGTTTGTTGCTGCCCTCCTGAATTTAGAACTTGCTTCTACTGCTTCAATTCCTTTTGCTTTAATTAAGTCTGACTTAGGGCTTGGTATACTTGTACTTATGGGTTCACTGGTGCTTTTTATTTTCCTTGGAGGTGGATTTGGTATTTTATGTTTTGAGTGGAGTTGTATTTGGTTAAAGGACCCCATAGGTGTTTTAGGTAGTTAGTTGGGGCTCCACTAATCCCCATTTTCTGTAACCCCTCTACTTATTAACATGAAGGGATTAACAACATCTACTCATGCACTGGGAGAAAACAGTGTGTGTGTGTGTGTGTGTGTGTGTATATATATACGCATATATAATTACAATATAATTCCAAAAAACCCGAGCAGGCTGACAACAACAGAAAAATGAGCTCAGCAAATGTATAGGAGTGACAGGAGTCCAAATAGCAATGAGGAAGATCCAGGCATCAGGTCTGCAGTCGGAGATAAGGTATATGAAGTTTATCTCCTTGTAATAATAGTTGAAGGGGGAGGGGAGGGGAAGTGGAGACCTCAGCATGATTTGAATTAGAGCCCTCCAAGGCCAGAAAATTTGCAGGCCTGTTAGCTTCCCTATAAACAAAGGAGAATTGTAGCTTAATTTCACTAATAAGCTTCTTTATCTTGTGCATCCACTAGATAATGTGCCAAGGGGGGGAAATATTTTCAGTGATCAGATCCACCAGTAGGGAAGAGTCCACTTCAACAATAATCCAATTCATTACCCCTTGTAATAATAGTTGAAGGGGGAGGGGAGGGGAAGTGGAGACCTCAGCATGATTTGAATTAGAACCCTCCAAGGCCAGAAAATTTGCAGGCCTGTTAGCTTCCCTATAAACAAAGGAGAATTGTAGCTTAATTTCACTAATAAGCTTCTTTATCTTGTGCATCCACTAGATAATGTGCCAAGGGGGGGAAATATTTTCAGTGATCAGATCCACCAGTAGGGAAGAGTCCACTTCAACAATAATCCAATTCATTACCCCTTGTAATAATAGTTGAAGGGGAAAATTTGAGTGCCCAGTAAAGAGCAATAACTTCAGTTTCCAGAGCATCAGCAGCAGTGTAGTGGGCCTTGAAATACAGCAAGGCTTTGCCAATGTGGTCTCTAAATATTCCTCCAATGCCTGCTTTCTTTTTAGTGAAACTTCCATCAGTGTTTATTTTGATGAAAGGATAAGGGGGCTTATCCCATTTAACCTTTATAACTTTAAGCTGTTTCATTTCTATATTAGGCAGATTCTTCAAAATCTTAGGGAACTTCTTCTAGATAATCAGCTTTTGGAGGTAAGCCTGACAGTTAGACACCACAAAATCAGGGTTAATCCCCATGTCCTCATGCTTTACCTTGTTCCTGGCATTCTACAGAAACCAGGCAACAATGAAGGGAAGAGACATAAGGTTTATTTTCTGTCAGTCTTTTAAGTTATCTTTGATGTTTCCCCAGCCAACATTGATCAGGTTGAGGTTAAATTTAGAGGTCAAATTTTTCCAAACATCCCTAGCAAATCTGCAACTAAAGAAAAGGTGGTCACTTGATTCTTGATCATTCTTGCAGAGGTGACATCTTGATGGGCCTTTCAAACCTTTCAATTTTAGAATGTCATCAGTTGGAATCAAATCATTTATCAGCGTAGAAGGAGTTAAGAAGTTTTTGCAAGTAAAAATATTCCACTGGTAGTTATCCCCTCTAAAAATTATATTCTGGATATCCTTAGAAAGGCTAAAGCTGGTCCTTTTAATGAGATGAATCTGGTCTTTTTTTACTTCTAACAAAATGAATTTTAGAAATGTTATCAGCAGAAGATTCCTTCAGAATGGTGTTCAAAGCATCCTCAAACCACTCATTTACACTCCAACAGTATTTAACAAGTAGATCTTCCTCTTTATCCTGTTGCAATGGTTCCAAGTGATCAGTAGAGCACCATTTGTCCTTATAGAAGTTTATTTCTCCATGACCAAGCTCCCAAATAAGAAACTTTTCAATGTCTTCTCTTCCGTTGAGCATCTGGATCCAGGTCCTAGAGTCACCAACTTTCTTAGTAACATCTCCAGGGTGGTCATATTTGCAATATTTGACCATCATGTAATCTGCCCAAAGACTATAATTTTATCTAAACCTGATCCAAATTTTACACATATTGATTTGTTACATTTGGTGAAGTCCTTTAAAACCCAAGCCACCAGCTTCATAAGGTTTAGCCACTCTTTGCCAACTAGCCCAGACCATTTGTTTCTTATTGCCAACCTAAAGGAACCTGTTGAACATTCTTTCCAGCATCAAGGTGGTGCTTATTTTCATGTTTGCCACTTGAAGGGTGTAGAGAGGGATAGCAGTGAGAATACTCTTGAGAAGGGTGATCCTTCCACCATTAGATAGGTAAGAATTTGACCACCTCTGAAGGGTATAATTAATTTTATCAATAACTTCATCAAATTGGGTCTATTTGGTTCTGCCTCTAACTAGTTGAGTGCCTACATATTTGAATGGCATGCTCATAGTAGAGAAACCAGTGAACTCAGTCAACCACTGTCTGATAGAAGCTAGAACTCTTTTGCTGGTAAGGATCTGACTTTTATCTTTATTTACTTTGAGACCAGGCACCTTTTGAAAGTTATTCAAGCATTCATCAAGGTAGCTAGTAGCAGCCTTTGTTGCCCTAGTGAAAATAAGGATATCATCAACAAAAATGAGATGGCTTATGTCCATCTTAGCTTTATTGTGATAAGCATTGAAGCATTTCTTATTCTCCTGACTATCAATGAGTCTTGATAAATAATCCAACACCAGGATGAAAATAGTAGGGGAAAGAGGATCTCCTTGCTTGATACCTCTAGTAGCTTTAAAGAACCCATGAGCTTTCCCATTTATGAAAACAGAATTGACATTAGCCTCAAGCCATCTTTGAATGGTCTGACAGAACTCCGTAGCGAACCCTCTAGCCTCCAAACATTCCATAATAAAATCCCACTCTACCATATCATAAGCCTTCTTCAGATCAAGCTTGTAGATCACATTGCCACCTCTGCAAGGTTTCTCTAAGTCTTGTAAGAGCTCTTAAGAAAGTAAAATGTGGTCTCCTATACTTCTTCCTTTCACAAAAGCAGCTTGGTTAATACTTATTAACTTGGGTAGAGCTGGCTAAAGTATGTTCACCAAGATTTTACTTACCATCTTGCTGATTACATTGGTGAGGCTCAAAGTTCTGACTTGACTCCAGCAGTTTTTAATAGAGGTCTTACGAAGAAAGACAATAGATGAAGAA